GCCGCGCTGCACGCAGTCCGCAGGGGTCCGGGCTGGGCGAGGGGTGCTGAGGCCTGTGGGTAGGCAAGTGTGTGCGAGTTCTGTCCCACTGCAAGGGAAAAGCCGTGGCAGAGTGCCGTGCCGTGCCTTGCCGGTCCTGGCAATCTGAGCTTGTCAACTGAGTTATTTGTGGAGCAGTGTACTGGCCCCGTGTCGCTGTACAGTGCACAGAAGAAGCACGTATTAGCTGCTCCCTCCCCTGGGGGTTGATAGTTTCCCTCAGGTGATGTCAGGAGTACTTTTAAGTACTTCAGAGATTCGTTTGCTGACAAGGCATTTATATTATGCTTATTGAGGGTTGTTTCTTTCTCGTTTATAAAAGCTTAACCCCTCTAAGGAGTCCAACATGGAAGAGTTTAAAGATGCAAGTCCACCTGAAGAATTACTTGATCACTTAAAGCTTTCTGATCAGAAGTCTTCAGAGACTGGCCCCAAAGATGCACAGAATCCCAAAAACATGGAAAGTGGATATACACCATCTTCAGCCAAAGATCTCACAACAGCAGATGAGTGTTTCCATGACTGTCACGACTCCTTTGAGGCAAAAGAACCTATGCTGGATGATGAAGGGAATTTACAGAATGATGAGAATAGCTCAAGGAAGCAGACAGAATTAGATGAAGAATACTTACTAGAACTAGAAAAAGATATGCCAGAGGAAGAAAAACAGGTAATCCAAAGTACCAATGTTGACTATAAAAAGATATATTTTCAGTGTCACTTCTCTGGATGGTCTGTGACCAGCATGAAAATGGACCTTTAAAACTCTCTTATGTGTCTAGTTTTACTGTTCTTAATTTCTTCTTTTAGGTAACAAATGTTTTTGTTAGCTTCCTTGCTGTTCTTAATCATCAACATTCCGTTGCAGATTTTTGTCTACTTTCACCACTATGCAAGGTTACTGTGACTCAGAGAGATTACAAGAAACAAAAATCTCCCTGTTTCATGTTGTGTAGTTGTGTGCATTCATTGTTTTCGCCTGATTAGCTGCAAGGTGCTTTTCCAAAACTCAGCGCAGGTTTCAGGATAGTTTTCATATCTGAAAGGCTAGTTTATGTAATACAACTAATTAGGATTAAATTTGAAAGTATTGCTATAGACTACTTAAGCTTTAAACAAACAAAACACATTAGATGTGTGGTTTTGTTCACTTTCAGTGCGGTTACATTGGACAAAATGTTTGGGTTACAAACTGGATAATGTTGTGGGGAGTAATGAAATAGGTCTTGGGGGAAGTCCAGCAGCCTCTGTAATGGTGTTTACTCCCCTGTAAGTCTGTTGAACCAGTTTTTTTGACCCTCAGTCAGTGGTGTCGCTTGATAGCACTTAGTTTTCAGGGTTCTGAGATATTATGGTCATCTACTAGTTAGAAAAAAAGATAGAACTTTTTTTTTTTTTTCCAAACTTTGAGAAAACTTGTTAAATCGCTTTCAAGATTAGACTCTGTTCACTTGAGTAACATGGTGATTTCTGCTGGTAATTATGTTCTCATAGCAGATGGTGGAAGGCTTTCTACTGATTTATGGATTTTTTTTTTTTTTTTTCCCCCTAATTTTTTTCAACTTTAGTTTGCAAATGGTGGCGGAGTAAAGATACTAAACTAAAATCTGTGTCCCAACATACAACTCTTGTAATTTTTTGTTTTTTTTTTTTTTTGGAACACACTATTTTTGACAAGTTATATAGCTTGGCCTCTTGAACAGATCATGTTTCAAAGACCTGATCCAGCCCCTTAAAATCTGATTGAATTATCCAAGCAGTTACTTGTACTGAAAATTGAAATAGCGATGAAAAGTACTACTATATTCTTTGGCAGTTGGGGAAAAGGTGGAATTCTGACGTATTGTAACTTATGTGAAGGGAAGACGTCAGTGAACTTTATTTTATAGTCCTGTAGGCATGAATTAGATCTTATTTTAATCAAGGAAATAGAATCCTTACTGAAAATCTAGCTGCATAATTTGGATCATAGGTAACATTGAATAACTGATTATGATGAGGGAGGGAGAGAGTGGAGCAAGGAAAGGCAGCTGACAAGAAAAGGTAGGCAGCATCTTAGGAAAGCATTACTTCATAGGGGAAGATAGTGTATTGTACAGCTGTATAGTTTTTAGAATGGAAACTCCCAAATCACCAGGAGCCGTAGAAGAAATTACTACTTTAATGGACAAGTACTACTAAAACAAGGCGTTTGATGAAAAAGAAGAAATGAAGGGTCATATCAAATTAATTTTTTTAAAAGTGCTTAAAATATTATGAATGTTTCAGTGAATTTATAGGGGCTTATTATTCTTTTGTACAGGCAGGCTGATCTTTTCTAATTCAACTGACTTGGTAAAGCTGGACCATGCTTTCTTAACTGTTGTCTAGTACTGTCTGTGTTGTATAAGTAAATAAATGCTGGCTATACGTTGCCCAAAAAAGTTGGAAAGAGGGGGGGGCTTGGCAGTAACTTGACTATGCCAGGGTCTTATGCTAGCTACTGTAAATAGAGAATGAGGGACAGAAATATGCAGAGCTAAGGTGCCAGAGGCAACCAAATATCTAAATTGTTTGTTACAAACCAGTATAGAGAAATTTAATCATGTTGTGGCTCAAATACTTCCCTTGCTGGTAGTGTGGGATTTCTGACCAAAATACATCAGTAAAGACAAAAGGTAGTTTTTCATCTGTAGTACAGATTGTCATGTTAATGCAGAAGTTCCTTGAGGTGGAAAAGCAATACGGGACTAGTGGGAAAGTGGAACATGGAATGTAATCTCCTTGAAGTAGGAATGAGACTAAATGTAATACTTGTCTGCTGCTTCACCTTGTGGAAATCGTTTCATCTCTCTCTCTCTGTCTCTCAATTTTGACATCTGTAAAATGGGTATAATGATGCTTGCCACTTGTAATACTTTGAGATCTAATAAGGAATAATGGGGGTGGGGAGAAATCTCAGGAGGCTATCTGGTGCATCCTTTGCCCCAAAAGGGCCTTTGGAGAGGTCATCTAGTCCAACCTCCTGCTCAAAGTTAGATAAAATAGATCAGCCTGCCCAGAGCCGTGCAAACATCTCAGAGCCTGGAGATTGTACAGCCTCTCTGGGTCCCTGTTCTAGTGTTTAACTACCCTCATCGTGGAAACTTTTTTCCTCATATTTAATTAGAATCTCCTTTGTTGCAACTTGTGACCACTGGCCCTTCTTTTTCTGCATGCCTCCAGGAAGAGTCCATCTCCATTTTCTCTAGCAATGAGGTCTCCCCTGAGCTACCTTTAGCTAAGGCTGAGCAATCTCAGTTCTCCTAGGCTGTCCGCTTAGGTCACTGTCTCCAGTGTCCTGACCATCTTGGGGGCCCTCTGCTGGACTCCCTCTGGGAAGTCGATGTCTGTTTTGGCTTTTTTTGTTTGGAGGGGGCACCAAAACTGGGCACTCTCCAAATGCATTCTCTCAGGTGCTGAACAGAGAGCAATAATCACTTTCCTTGACCTACTCACTACACAGAAAAACCATTATCACGTTGCCTTTATATCTTTTCCAGTTTAGGCTAAACAGTCCCTTTTTTCTGCTTGTTTTTATTGCTTGTATAACAAGGAACATCACTGTCATCATGAGTCACAATGAGCAGCCTATAACTGGAAGGCAGTTTGAGAGTTTCATAGACAAAATGCTAAAAGCTGGGGGGAAATTATGTTGTAGAATTAAACTCTGGAAAGAGCAGCAGGCCTAGAAATTGGGTGTCTTAGTTTTCATGCTACTCTTGTTTCTGTTGTATTGTTAGGTAATCATTTAATTTTGCACATCAATTTTTGCTTCTGTAAAGTGAGCAAAAGAATTGTGAATGTTGAATACTTGCATTAAACTTTGTGGAACTCCATTGGAAGGTGCTATGGGAGTACAAAATAATAACTGTTTAAAGCTGGAAAGATTTCCTTAGAGAAAGTAGGAAGACAGCTGCAGTTCTGTAGGTTTATTTCCAGTGGTATTGAGTAATTGTGCCTTTCAGCTTGGTTTATGATTATACCTAATGAAATAGAGGGATTGCATCTCTTAGTATCACCATAACTATTAGATTGGCAATACTTATATTGTGAGCTTTGTTTATGTTCCCTAGAGAGCTTTCTGAATGGATTATATAGGCAGTCTTTAAAATATAGCTATTATTTTCTCTTACAAAATATTGTTGGTATCTCTTACAAGCAGAGCTTGAGAAATCCAGAAACTAGAGATGAATTAGCTTACAGCAGTTGCTATAACTATTGAAGTAGCCCATTTGCATGATGTTACCCTGCATCACCTTACATCCTCTGTGTAGTAAAACTATGGGGATGGGTCATTCCTGAATTGCCACTGCAACTTTCCTCATAGTATCTGGAATTGATGGCTACAATTTTTTTTTTTAATTTTTATTTTTAAAAGTGAAATGTTCTATATATTTTGACTCTGAAAAGAATCTGTTAGATGATGCAGCTTTTAAGAAAAAAATACGGCAGTTACTGCAGTCTGGAAACAGCTGCTGTACATCCATTTATTCAGTTTTTCAAACATTTTAAACCTCTTTCCAATTACTCAAAAGGTCGTTTTTGAGAAGAAGGACAACGTGATTTTTTTGCAGCTAGAGAAAATGAGGCAGAAATATTCAGAGCTTGTTTATTTGATTGTTTAGGTTGTGATCAGACACTCGGCAGCAGTGCCTAGGCAGTCCTTGATCAGTTATTCTCAGCCCCCTGCTGCCTCTTTCATTGTGCTAACGCACCTCTCTATGTGAATGTGCAGTCAACCAGTTACGGGGAATGATTCAGATGAAAAATAATGCTGTATTTTTAGATCAAGGGCAGTGCTGGTAAAAGTAGACATCAAATGGCAGCCTCGTGGTGGCATACAGGGGTAGATGGATTTTCTTCAATTAGACTACTTGCCTAAGTAAGAAAAACTTCCTATGAACTGTGGTTGCAGCACCCACGATAAACTATGTACTCAAGTCATAAGGAGAGCTGGATGTTAGCCCTGCTCAAATCAGATTTACACCTTAATAGTTTTGGTTGTTTGTTTTTTTTTTTAAATTAAGCCCATTGTTATGTTTTAGCAGCTTTAATAAATCAGTTCTTTTGAGTGATGTTGTCCAATAACTAGGCTGTAGATAAGAAAGTCTCTAATTTTTTCTGGAGATGCAAAGACAAATTCTAGTCCTTGCTCTGTGTATTTATGCGTATCCTATGTGCAAGCTTTCATGGTAGCAGGTTGGAGCAGAAATTCTCGCCCATGCAGAAGCAGCTGCAGAGATCAAAGTGAAGGAGCAAGTGGTTGTGTATTTTCTTTCAATTATATTTCAAGAGCCCCATACAGTGAGATTTCTAATTTTAAGCAAGAGGAATTACTTCCAGTACTGATACTGTAAGAAGTCTTCTCTGCGCAATGAAGCAAAATAAGAACTAAAGGGATATTGAGACACAAACCTGCAAGAAGTATTCTTAAAAACACATGTAGCATAGAGCCTGGTTACTTGCCTGGACTTGCAGCTCTGAGCTGTTTGAGAATTAAGCAGCCTGAAACAAAATACACCTTTATAAGATTTTTGTTGTTTGTGTTTCAAAAGCATGCTGATTTGCTGCCTCAGCAGAGGCACTGAGCAGTAAATTGCTTTTGATGCATTACAAACAGATTTTTCTGGTTAGTTGTCATTGACAGTG